CCATATGAGATTCAAGTCATGACGGTAGTCCATGTGACAATCTCATGCGGGTCAATCCAGTATTCCGTTCTCCAACGAATACCTATGACTATGATCGTATCCAATACCTATGATCATATCTATAATCATCAATCACACATCATACTAGTCTTATTATGTCATCATTCCCATAATGACACAAGACTAGGGAGTTTAGTATCATTCATAATGATACATGGATTTCATAACAGATCTAGTATGCAAGAACATGTAATGAATCAAATACTCTCATAAAAACCATAGAAAATATCAATACATCAAATGTATCTGAACAAAGCTCATAAACAGTACATCATAGAGCACTAAACCAACAGAAATCTACATGAATCTTCCATCGGGTTATTCTTATCTTATGGGGGAATCCATTCCATTCGGATTCGTCTGCAGACTCAACAAATCGTTATATGGACTGAAATAAGCTTCTCGGTAGTGGAATCTTTGGCTTGCGAAAATGCTAACTGATGCTGGTTTTGTCCAATCGAAGTCAAATTCTTCTCTGTTTGTTTAGAAGTGTGGATCGAGCATTGCTACCATTTTAATATATTTCGATGATCTTCTTTTGACTGGTAATGATCCTGAGCTTTTATAGGATCTGAAAACTGTTTTACACTCTGCGTTTCAGCTGAGAGATCTTGGCGACATGCGATATTTTCTTGGGCTTGAAATCGCATGTTTTCGACAGGGGATTTTCGTAAATCAAAGGAAATACACTCTCTCGAACTTTTTGATGAATTTGGAATGTTGGGTTGATAGCAATACCCATGTAGTTTGGTCAGAAATTGGGACAAGACAGTGGTGAACTTATGCTTGATCCAAAGCACTATCGGACTCTATTGGGAAAATTGATCTATTTATCGCTTACACACCCACACATCTGCTACCCTGTCATGAAGCTCAGCCAGTACATGTCACAGTCGTGGACTAGTCACTTGCAGACTGCTTATCGAGTGTTGCACTATCTCAAGAACTCTCCGGGTCAAGGACTGCTTTATCCGTCTGCTTTTGATCTTTATCTTTGTGTGTTCACTGACTAGGCATCGTGTCCTGATTCCAAACATTCTGTCACAGGATTTTGCGTGTTCTTGGGTGGTGCTTTGGTCTTTTGGAAATCTAAGAAACAGATCACTATCTCTCGAAGCTCGGCTGAATCCGAGTATCGCGCAATGGCACAAACGACCTGTGAGCTTGTTTAGCTCGATGCATTGCTTCATGAATTGGATTTCTAGTGTCCTCATCCAGTGTCACTTTATTGGACAATCAACCCGCAATCCACATTGCAAATAACCCGGTCTTCCACGAATGCACGAAGCATAATGAATTAGACTATCATTTTGTCTGCGAGCGTATCACTGATGGTTTCCTGAAGCCTCTACATGTTTTATCTCATGATCAACTTGCGAATTTACTTACCAAACCGGTTTTGGTGGATCATTTCCAACATTTGTTGTCCAGGATGGGAATAGATTCTAGAGGTTGTTATATTTCAACGGTTAAAATGAGAAAACAAATATAAATTTAAGAAGATTGAAATTGATTAGAAATGATTATGATGATGATCGGGAGAAATAAAAGATACGAAATCAATTAACAAATAATGATAATTGTGTCAATTATCTCTTGATTTATTTGTTTCTATCATATATTATTTCTTTGTAAATTTCTTTCTTTAATTATTTTGTAATTGTTTTTTTATAAATAGATGGGTTATTTTCATTGTAAAATAACAAGAAGATGTAGTAATAAAAGTGTTCTTTATTTTATTTTTCTCTTTTTAATTTCCGTATTTTATTTTTCAATATGGTATCAGAGTAGTGTTACGATCTGATCTATATATTTTTTTCTTAGTTTTTATTTTCTACTCTCTTTGTTTTTGAGTTCTTAATATTTATATATCCAAATGGTTTGAAGTGAAACAAAATCTAGAATTCAGCGAAGTGCTATGATAAAAGGAGATAAAGGCAGAATTCCATGATCAAACAAACTGATTTGAGGATGGATCAAAACTTTCAAGAACCAGATAGGTATATGTGGATCATTTTATTAACAATGAATTACTTATCGAGTTTTTAAATTATTTCAGGTATTCTCTCCAAGATCGACATTTTACATTATCTCCAAGTCAATCTTGAGAGAAATGTTAAAATAAAGAAACAAATATAATTTTAAAAATATTGAAATTGATTGGAAATGATTTTGACGATGATTGACAAAAATTAAAGACACAAATTCAATTAACAAATAATGACAATTGTGTCAATTATCTCTTGATTTATTTGTTTCCATCATATATTATTTCTTTGTAAATTTTTTTCTTTAATTATTTTGTAATTGTTTCTTATAAATAGATTTTCATTGTAAAATAACAAGAAGAAGAGATGTAGCAATAAAAATGTTCTTTGTTTTATTTTTTTTCTCTTTTTAATTTTTGCATTTTATTTTTCAATATCAACAACTTTAAATTTCAATCTTATCGCTTCTAATTGTTTTTTTATGGGAAAAACTCCTAAAAATTCTTGAACTTGCAAGTTGCGAGAAAAAAAATTCATGAACTTGCGAGGGTGCCAAATAATTACTGAACTTGCAAAAAGTGTCTCAATAAATCTTAATCTTGTTTAAAGGTGTCATATTAGTCATTCAGAGAAACTGATTATAATAATATGATGACTTACACTAGGCCAACCTCATCAACCGTACAACAGGAACACATTCAATCTCCACGAACTACGATAGAGACAACGTTGCCTGAAGAGAACGCGACGCCGACGACACCGTTGCCTGAAGAAATCGTTGGCGATTTCTGAAGAAATCACTGATGATGGAGGAAACGAAGTTTCGGGATCGGACTTTGCTCTCGGGACTCGATTTTGGAAAGAAAAAAAAAACGGTTTTCTAAAACTCAGTACTGTGGTATTGTTATCGTTATTCATATATAAGATGTGGCAGAAGAAGAGAAGAGATGAACAGTATGCTCAGCTTTTGAAGTTGTTCGAAGAGGATGATGAACCGGAGGTTGAAGAAACCAGTTTTCTAAAACTTAATATTGATTACGTGGTAAAAAAATTCTACTTGGCGTGCCATGTCACCTGCCATGTAGGAAATAAAATTATATTATTATAATCAGTTTTTCTAAAGGACTAATATGACACTTTTTTTTTAACAAGATTAGGATTTAATGAGACATTTTTTGCAAGTTCAGGAATTATTTGGCACATTCGCAAGTTCAAGAATTTTTTTCTCACAATTTACAAGTTCATAAATTTTTAGGGTTTTTTCTTTTTTCTATCTTTTATTCCCTTAGTTTTAGTTACGACAATTGTATTTAGTTCTGTATATATTTACATGAACTCGATCAATGATAAACAAGTGAGAAGTTTCTTTTATTGCCTCCTCTATTTCTTTACTAAAGCATAAACACTTTCTATAACTTATTAGAAACACCAGTCTTTTGGTAAGAGACTTCTTTTTATTATACGTAATAAAATTATAGAATCGAAACTAAACATCATAGAACTCTAAAGCCCATTTTTGAATTAGCATAAAATTATACGATAAAAATTGATTCCATCAAATTTTAGACTGCGCTTGTTGCATGATGTCTTGTATGAGCAGTGCGATGTTACAATGGGAAGAGCCTCCTTCTCCCACAGCTTTGTTTGCTAATTCTCCAAGTTCTTTGGCTCTTCCTTTTCTCTCTTTTGCTTCAGCACTATCACCCATTAACTCACTTACTGCATTTTTTATCCCATCTTTGTCAACCAACACTTTTATTTTCTCTTCTTCACCGTATTGCATCGGCAGTTCCACCCCGGATCTCACGCCTACTCTAAGAATCTGAACGACCAGTTTCTCGTTGCAAAATTGGTCTCCGAATAAGGGCCATGTGAGCAACGGAACCCCGGCAGTGATCCCTTCAAGAGTCGAGTTCCATCCGCAGTGCGTCAAGAACCCTCCGACTGATGCGTGTGAAAGGATTAGCACTTGGGGTGCCCATCCTTTGACAAGAAGCCCTCTTTCTCTGATTCTTTCTTCGAACCCGCTTTCCGAAATCCATTTTTGTAACTCACTGTACTTCTCCCCACCTCTTATCACCCAAACGAAGGGCCTGTTGGATTCTTCGAGGCCTAGACCGAGCTCTCTGAGCTGAGCCACTGGGAGATTGTAGAGACTGCCGAGGCAAACGTAGAGTACAGAATCCGGTTCTCGAGAATCAAGCCATTTAAGGCATTTGTCTTGATCAATGGCTGCGTTGTTTCCTCTTTCGGCTTTGTCTAACCCTAGCTTGTTGCATAAGGAAACGGGTCCAACTGCCCACACTTTACTTGCTCTTGCCTTGCCGTACTCTCTCAAATAAGCGGGTTCGAGCTCTTGGAACGTGTTCACGATCACGCCGTATGACTTGTTATCTGCTTCCACCAACTTTTCCAAGAACTCTTTCCAATCGCCAATAGGGTATGTGAGCAGGGGAAGTTGGCGTTTTGTATATTCGACCCTGTCGGGGAGATCTGGAACGACAACATACTCTTTTTCGGACTCTATAGTGTCGAAGATCCCGGCTTCACGTCCGACTTGCGTGCAGAGGAGGGCGAAACTGCACATACCATGAAAGACGATGTTGGGAATCTCGAACTTTATGGCAAGGCTGCTGGTGTAAGGCAACCACACATCCGCGATTACGCAGCTCGGCCGCGGATTCATCTCTTCCAGGAGCTTCTCGACGGGTTCTCCAAGCAAATTAGCCGCTTTTAGAAACGCCATTGACGCCTCCTCTGAATCCAGCATGTCGATATTCTCGAGACCTTCGGGCAAACCCACTTCTTGATACGGAAACTTCACCTCGACTAGGCTGATGGGTAGGCCCGATTGGACGGCACGGCTAATGACATTCTTGAACCGGTTGGCATTAAGAGGAGTGGTGACGATGGTTATGGTCACGCCTCGTTGAGCCAAGAGCCTGGCTATATCGACCATTGGGATCATATGGCCCGGAGCCATGAAGGGAAATAATTAAGAAGCTTATACTTGGAAGTTCAAAAAAAAAATTCTACTTGGTGTTATGGCTAAATGTGAGAGAGCAAAATATATAGACAGACACGTGGAAGAGAAAGCCGATAAGCAAAAGGAAAGAGATAAGCATTCTGTATTATTCGGTGACAGCCGATATGGTCCACAAGACATTTACGACGTGACACTACTAAACCTGCCCTTCCGCGTTTCTCTCTTCTCGACGTGATATATATATATATATATATATATATATATATATAAATCCGTATGTGTATAATTTTTTTTTTAAAATGAAAAAATAATCAATATAAAAATAAGAGAAAAATACTAAAAATTTATAAACTTGTAATTTAATATAATATTAATTTATGAATTTATAGGTGTACTTATTTATTCCCGAACTTATATTTTTTAATACAATAATTCATGAATTTGTATTTTTAAATATAATAATTATTAAATTTGTATTTTTGAACACACTAATTCATAAATTTTGTTTTGACGATTACAAAACCATTAAACAAATTTAGAAATTTTTGTGTTAAAAAATATAAGTTCAAAAATAAATAGATGCAGCTACAAATTCTTGAATTAATATTACACTAATTGCAAATTTGAAAATTTTCAGATATTTTTTCTAAAAATAACTAAAACTCAGAAATATATTTAAAATACAATTCTTACCAATAATTGATTTTTTTTTTTAAAAAAACGAATTGAATCATGATATAAAAATACGATATTTGTAAATTTTATAAAAACAAAAAAAACAAAATTCTTAACAATCGGATGTGATAATTTTAAAAAAATGAAATAATTGAGTAATATAAAAATAACCAAAAACAGAAATTTCTTTAGAAAACAAATATATTTATCAACAAAAATCGGGAAAAAAATTGCATCAAATTAAATCTAACACAAAACCGAATGTTTATATTTTTTACAAAACCGAAAACCAAATCTGAAAATAATCAAAACGAATTCAAACTGAAATCCGAGATGGATACTCTTCTACTCTGTATCCGCTCATCGTTATTCGTCCAGAACAAAACAGTGAAAAACATAACGTTAGATCAGAATCGAAAAAAACTCGACAAAAAAAAAAGCAACAAGAAGTCGAATTCGGTGTCCATGTACAAAGACTTTTATGTTACACAGAACCAAACCACAAACAAGACAGTGATCTTTCATGACCAAAATATCTGCAACATAAAACAAAACGAAACGAACAATGACATAACTTGTAAAACCAAAAAATATTGGCGCACACACACTGTACATAGATTATAAGATCGAAACGGCGTCTAATTTGTATTCACAACGGTCGTTTATTATCATTATGATTATTGTGTAGGCTAACCACCGAACTGCATTCGTGTGTTGGATCGGTTAATTTATTTCTTGACCGACTCGGGATCGGTTGTTTTTCTACCTGAGTCGGTCCTATCGAGTCGGGATATTCTCCATGACGTTGATTTGGTTGATTTCAGCAACAAACCGAGGGCCGATGAGCACGAAGCTCTTACAACCGCATCGGTCGACCTACCCATCTTGCTAACCAGCACACCAAACACCTAAACCAAAAGGGTTAATAATAACCTCATGGTCATATGCGTTTCTCTTACCGAAAAAAAAAAAAAAAAAAAAAAAACTAGAGGTATGTGCGGGAAAAAAAACGTTTCTGGAGAATGACCTGTGGATAGTAGAGAGAGATTATGTGTTGATCCTCCGAAAGGGACAACATGGTGGTGGCGAAATGTATTGCGTTCGCCTGAATTACCGGCCATGGTGTGTCAAAAGCCTGCAATGGTGGTTCTCTCGTTTCAGATAACCTATTTTTTCAGGTGTATTGTATTTGAAATATGAGGAGGATAACTTGGCAAAACGAACCTGTATGGTTGATGCCAAGTACGTATCGACTCTTACGGATTGTTGAACAAAGTGCCTTGCGAGGTCCCTTACAAAGTCTTCGTATCCGCTCCTGAAACCGAAAGGTTGTGATTTGAGGTTCATATTTTACGGTTTATGGAGAAAAGAAATGAGAAGGTCTGTGTATTATTGGGATGTCGAGCACATACCGATGGTCAGAACTGAAAGAACGGGACTCAAACAGGGAAGGAGGACATTCCATGTCCATGAGAGGAGCGATCCGTTTGAAGGCGCCCTATTCGTTAATAACATGTGTAAACTAAATTTCCAACAACTAGATGTAACAGTGATAGGTTACAAAAACGATGGTCGCTTACTCGGCATGCCTGTCTAACACCAGGATCATCATCGTGTAGGTGAACGACCAAACGAGGCAGGGTGGAATGTACCTGACATTAAACAGATGCAGGGGTATTAGTTTAGTTGCTTATTGTGGTCATATCGGTCATGGACCATGCTGTAGATTAGCTTCTTAAACAAGGAAATGTGTTACCTGCTCCACAAATGCCTCTCGATGCTCTCCGATGGCATAGTTACTTAATGCTCCAAAAGCTGCAAAAGCATTGGCTCTCATCTTTGAGTTCATGCTTACCTGCAAAAACAAAAGTCCATATTTCAAGTGACAGGAAGTAGCAAAACCCTTTTACATTCAATCAAATGTTAGATCTCATTAGTGTATCTGAAAGTTTCCAGATCTAAGGAAGCACTTTCTAAATTTTTCCATTATTCCTTTCACTATTAGAAATTTTTTTCCCCAATCTTAGCAAACCTTTCAGATAATCATACTCGAAATTGGATCCTACCTGAAGATTACGAAGCCGAACAGATAAATTCATCAAAAAAGGTTCAACTGCATCATTGGGTGCTGACTCTGTGACCTAAAACAAAGACAAGAAACATGTAAAGTCAAAACCATTTTTTGATGGGTTTCACAGAAATTCAGAGCTCAAAAGATAGAAAATTACCGTCAATAAACACGAAACAGCAGTTAGTTGCACTGATTCATCCAAGTCATCGAGCAAGGCTAATATTACGCTAAGAACTTGAGTTGTGTACTGATTCATGCAAGCAGATGGAATCTGGCAAAATTCAGAAGGGAGTAACGAATCACTGATCAGGACAAGAAAATGGGGAGAGAGAGGAAGAAGAAGAAGAAACAAAGTAAAACTGCACACACAGCGAACAAACTCATCATATAAACTAGTCCACTATCCCTGTTTTATCTAGTAAAATTTCTTACAACTTCGTTGACAGCGATATGTAAGAATTTTTTGCGTGTAAGCTTCAAAAAGATTGGCAAAAGAGAACATATTTCCCTGTTACACAACTAATGGCTTCATCAGAAATTTGTCATGGCTGCGGACATTAAATCTCTTAGACATTAATCGTAGGTAATTTACAACTGAACATTTACGACCACATTGTGTAAGTTTACTGATGAAACCATTTTTTACTGAAACTGGTAGAAGTACTTTTAAGTTACTGTAATGTTTACCATAAAGTAAACAAAGATGTTGTGAATAACTCTTACTTGTACTAATCCTCTTAAACAAAGACGTCTAACGGTCGGAGAATCATCTGAGACATGTCGGCAAAGCGATTCGACCATCTGCTCCAGAAGGGAATTAAAATCGCCACTGCAATACTCAAAAAGTAAAAAGAAAAAATAGAGAGAGAGGTTAGCAGATTACACTTCAGAGGTTCTATGATGAAAGAAGTGAAACAGATCTTCCACAACCCTTTTCTATTATGAACTTTCATACACAGATAACGTATGATTAACTGTTCTTTTCTGAAGAAAGCAAAGAAGGTAAATGGATACATGAATCTGAAGAAATCTGTAGAATGATTACTGGTAGAGTATCAGCACCACGTGATTTACCAATATATAAGTTAAAAAGACGAGGTCACATTTCGGACAAAAACTTTGATATCAAAGTAGTTTAACACATGAATATTGATGAGAAGGAAACAAAGAAAAAACAAATTGAAGGGCATTGATGACATTATACCTGTAGCGTACAAACTCCGACAATGCTGCAGCTGCAGCTTCCCTTTGAAATCTTTCTGAGCGGTTTAACGACTTTGTTAAAATCATGCAAATATTTCGAACCTGTAAGCCAAACACAGAAACATAAGTTCTATTTCGGTCCGAAGCAAAATGTATGCACTTTTGCCTTCACCCGTAAATCTATGTCTGCTCAAAAAAATGTTTCAGAAATATAAGCTGTATAAGCTGTTTGTAAGAGTGCTTAGTTTTCCAAAACTTCATTTTTTTCAGGCAAAAACCAGTTACCCTGTGCACTAAAAACCATGCACATCTCCATATTCATGCCGCTTGATACAAGAATGACCAAAGAAAAGTCATAATTATACGCAGCCCGTCAACCAGTAATAGATCGATGATAGATTTGTGAAACAACAGTCAAACAGTATGCTGAATACTTCAAGAGGAAAACTATACAACTACGGTCACAAAGTTCAACAATTTACGAGCAACATTAGATACCTCTTTTGGTCTCTTGATAGAGATACAGCCAGCAATATCACCAATAAGCTCAACCCATTTTTCTTTCTCTCTTTGCTCCCCATCACGAGCCAGAATCTAAAGAAAGATATGTGTATAGTTCAGTGCACAAGAAAACCAAACCAAAGAGTGTACAATCTGAAGTACCTTTCCCATCTCAAGATCTCCAACACAATCGCAGAAAGTCTGAAATGAAGTTAAAAGCACTCTGCCAAGAAGGACAATTAATGTACAAGCATCACAGAATGAAAACGGTAAAAAAAGATTACTAACAGAGGAGCACGCTGTATACAGGTTTTGAAGGAGAGGAATTACCGCAATGGATCTTGCTGACCAGAGCTTGCAAGTCCATGGCAGCTGCCTAACTGAAGAGTAAGTGCTGCAACAACAGAAGAGTAGCTCTGCTCGACGGCTCTTTTTCCAACTTTACCGCCGCCCCTGATTAAGCACGTACTTTTAGACACTGAAACTCATCAAAGTATAATGAAGTAAATTTGATAAATCAATCAAAGGAACCTGAAAAAAGCAGTGAGAGCAAAAATGGCAGCTTGGAGAATGTCTTCTTCTATCTGAGTTTCGCCAGCAGAACTAGAATTCTCTCCTTTATGTGCATCACCTTTAACTAAAGAATTTTGGTTGAGGACGGATATTAAGTGTTCCAGGAACAGAACTGACAGCTCTGCATGTTGAGAAAAAGCCTGTAGGAAAATAAAAATAATAGAAAATGAAATACCTCGTCAAACTATATTTTTTAATGACCAAATACTTGAGCAATGCAGAAAATAATAAAGACAGAAGGTGAACCAGACTCAGGAAAAAAAAACCTGGAATATTTAGAACTACCGGACACAGGAAAAAAAAAGTTGGATGCTTCTTCATGGAATAAGGTAATATGGCACAGCGGTAATAGACAAACACCTAAACCCAAAGTTATTATTACTAGAACAAGCACAATATACGCAGACTTAGTCATAGTTCTAAACAGATGTGCCCAGTGTGAAATAATGTTCACCATCCTTTCAAGCATTTTAAAATAAAAGCTTCAAGCCAGAGAACCAAGAAGAAAATCAGCAAATAAAGTTGAATGATATCCATTTCGGAGAATAATCTCATGCATCATAGCAGTTCATACAACATTACTAATACTTACATAAAATGCATCTTGCATTGGCCAGCCGCCACGCATCCTTGTTATGTCCTTTGTCACAATGTCCCTTCCAGCAGTAGCCAAAACTTCATTAAACACGATCGAAGACTGCGTGCTCTCAGCAAGGGCAGAAATCTTAATGTGATTAAGGTTTAAAAAAACCAATGTACTGATAATGTACTAAGCAAATGCTATGCAATTGCACATTATAATGATATCACCTATAGCAAAAAACATAAAATCGGTTGACCAGAAGAACTTATAATCAGTAGCTTGTGACTCAACAAGTATCCAAATAAATAGTTCCCAGATTTAAGAAAAGATACGGCTCCGAGAGCTTCACTTCTTAGATGCTTGTCAGTTATATGAACTGCTGCAGAGAGCAACGACTGAGTCGTTCTGCCAGAAAAGGACCACAAAATGAAAAGGGCATTGAGTCAATAAAAACCAATTGAAGTGAACGAAAATCCACCAATGAGCAGATCGGCAAGCTTTGATCATAGTGCAATTAAAAACCTTGAAATGTCATTTTCGCTTAGCTGACTTCCCCTCTTTGAGACAAACTCAGTAACAGCTTGAATGGCACCCTCAGCAGACTGCCTAATTTTGTCACAGATAGCCGAAGTGCAACCTTGCAGTGCTGCTACAAGCTACAGAAACATTGAACAAAACAGTGGGAACTCTTCAATCTAATGACATCGATATCAACTAAATTTAGGAAGAAAAACTACCTCATCCTCGGATAACAAAACAGAGACAGATGACACAATTCTGTTAAAAACCTCGGACGGATCGATAGAGGCATCCTGAAAGTCAGCTAAAAGACGTGTTAACAGAAACCTGAAAATGCAACATGCAAAAGAAAAGCAGATAATTGTAAGCCTAACCACACTAGGCTTACACTTCTCAACATGGCAATGACATCCTCAAGTGAGGACAGGGCTTTATATGAATCTTCCGTATCCAAAGCACTTGACACTACCGTTTTTGGAAGAGTAAGGGAAATGCTGAAGAGCTGGTCGAGAATCTAAGAAAAAGAAGAGCGGGGAGACAATGAGGATCCATCAGTGTCACTATGATATCAAAGTTCTTACCGACGCTCCATGACACCATCGATCAAGACAAGTGGAATAGCTTATTATACGATACCTGTGGAGAAACTTTTCGAACTTCAGAATTTGTGTCTGCACAACGTGGCAGATAGGTAATGACCCTGTCCCCCAGACAGAGGGACTCGCGACTAGGCAATAAAAATGTCGCTGTTGGTCAAACATTGCAATCAATCAGCTGATAGGAATACACTGAATACATATCTCAGAACTTGCTCGAGAACGTATACTTACATGGTAGGCTGGAAAAATTCCCCTGCAGATTGCGGTCTACAGGCTTTCTGTGCGGACAATTCCCAGAACAACCAAGAGGACAATAGCCACTAACACAAAGCTTGCGAAACTTGAGGAGCATCTCATGGACTGCCACACAACCTCTTTTTCTTTGATAATCAATTGGCGACGAAACATATTGATCAAGTTGTCTAAGAAGGTGCAAAAGTTGCTCCGCACGACTTCTTCCATCCTCTCCACTAGTTGATTAATATAAGTACATATTTATAAGGAAAAGCTGGTACTACAAATTTAAAGATAATAAGACTTGACTATTGAGTTTTCTGTGAGTCCATTTGCTATTCACTCACCCTACTCTGATCTAACATGGAGGAACATAACATAACATGAATATTATGTTATGCAAACTAAGAGAGATCAAATAAACTTTGCAGACAAGGCACCTAATATGCTGATCATGCAAATAATATAATCAATAAGAATCCTAGACGGTAGGAATATTGGAAATTTTAAGCAATTTTATCACCGGATTCCTTACTTCACTAATTATTTCACCAATGACAATATTAAATAGATCAAACATCCAATCTTTCCAGAAGAGAAGGAAACCTACAGCCACAGAAGTAGCCATTTGAGCTTACAATTTGCTATTTAATTACCTTGTAAGAAGAATCGCACACAAGAGAGTCACAAGATTGTCGATAAGGGGATTGATCACATCTGCCGGATCGTTAGGCAAAGCAAAGAATCCCAAAGTAGCCTGTCAATATAAGTGAGCATTAATGCAAGAGAACAAATATAAATGCACAACAGAGCAACAACTCGAGGCTTTCTTTCTATACTTCGGACAAAACCAGATTTCAAGTACCTTCATAACACGATTTCTCGTTTCAACAGTCAGCTTCGGCTCGACAGACACCAAGGTTGTGCAAGCATTCAGAGCAAGCACCTGAATAATAGTGAAGAAAAATGTTAAATGTTTGTATCGACAGAGACACTAATGGAGGCATTGGCATTGGCTACTGCCATGGACTAACGAAGACACCTGAGTGTGTAGAAGTTCAAGACTAGACTCTGCAAAACCCTCATTTTCATCTCTACCCATTAAAGTTAATATATAATCAAGCAGCTGGTCTCTTCTTTTCAAAGGAAACGACGAACCACTTTCTGAAGCACTGATGACAGCACGGCCTGCACCCGAGACAGCAATTAAGGATTCAGTATACTAACAAGAGTGACTCACCATGATTACACCAACCACATCAACGGTGTAAAGCGATAGGCATACAACAACATTATTCGTGTAAAAGAAGGCAATATCCTCACTATTCATTGTAAAGAAAAAAAGCTAAGACTCCCTCATTCATCTAGATAAGATTGACAAAAGAATCTTTCTACGCCTGATATTGACCTAATAAATCAATAGCAGTGATAACAGCTTGTTTCGCTGCCTGTTGTCGCACATGAAGAAGACGTGCAAGCATATTAGTACCCTGAGAACAAGAAAATGAAATTCACGTCAGCAGCTATAGAAGAAATACTAATAGTGGTTCATTAACAATATAAGAAGCTAGCTGAAATACAAAATGAAGCTCTGCTTTGTTGTTGCAAGTATTTGATTGTCCAATTCGATCATACTTTAGCTAGAAGAGGTTTATTAGCATATGATCGTTTGAATTAAAGTGAGGAATGAACTCGCAAAGTCTTAAGCATAAGTATATAGCAATTTGTGAAAGTATAAATAGGACATAAGGTATGCAGAAAGATGATAGCGTATGTAGAATAACATGATATCATAAAGGTTAACACATACGACAAGTGCATCTATTCTGGCTTCGATAACCGATGATGGCGCATATTTCGCAGCATATCCATACATCAACGCCAAGGCAGCATGGATATCATCACTATCTTCTGTTTTATAGCTATCATAAAAGAAAGATAAGATCCTACAATAGATAGAAGTAAAACATCAGGTTAGTGCTTAACACACTTCATAACATAACACTGGGTTACCAGTAAGCAAATGTAGAATACACAGAAACCCTTTGGTTTGACTTTTCCTACTCATGCATAACATTGCCCTTGAAAAAATGCAAGATGAATTTAATGTGCACAAATAGATTATCAGAAATACCAAAATGCGACTTCACATAAAACATATTAATCAAAACAAAGAAGAAATCAACAGATTTAACGAAAACATAAATGACAGAAATGCAGGTTTATACATTAGAGTGCATGAGGTAATACAAATGTGATGCATATAGTCAGCCAGGATTCACCTTTGGAAAATACTCTGCCCAACATTATCCAAAATCTCTTTTAGCTTTTCCAGTACTGTGTCCAAGTGTGAAGCAGCCACCTAGACAATCAATGAGCAGCATCATTAACATAAGGAGACAAATCAAGATAAGGAGACAAATCAAGACTAGACCAAGAATCAGAAAAAGTTGCATTCAGAAGATACCAATCCCATGGCCTTCGCTAAACCAAGTCTGTTTGCAGAATTAGAAATGTCAGCCTGTTTGTACATCCAGTCAATCTTATCGCGAACATATGCTCTGTCATTAACTTTCTGAAGAAGGATGCCCAAGCACCTAAAAGATAAGCACATGATGCATCATGCACATCCAAGCTCAACCATCAACCTTGATATTGCATATACAACAATATACTGGGAGCAGAATTAACAAATTTCAGCAACGATTATTGTCATAGATTTGAGGCTTTCCAGCCAATTACCAAGATATAACAATGAATGGTATAACTCCTAAAATGAATGTCAATTCAGTCATGTTCAATTGGTGGAAGTGCACCAGAGTGTATATGAACAAGGATAAACAAATAACCACGAGAATGACATCATCAGGAAGAGAATTCACTAGATAACAGATATATAGAAACAAATAATCATAATGGTCAATAACGGAAAACGCTTTCTGATTGTCAGAGATGAAGAGTAAGAACTGCAACCATGTCAGAAGCAACCAACTGGAGACATAAAATATGGTACTGAAAAAGAAATGATGAGCTCCACTTAGAAACCAGAATGACAGAAACAAAAGAAATTTATTTACCGGTGTAGAAGTGCTGCATGTTCATCATCTGATGTGTAAAGAATGTATTGTTTCGCAAAAGAATTTCCTAGGCATATAATCCAGTCAGCATCCTGGATCACATCCAATGATTCTGCAAGAAACTGCAAGACATGATAGAGAAACTTGTTAATAGTAATTAGAACATATGTCCATTCTATCGAATTTAATCCATAGATTCAAATTTAATGTAACAGATCTTTCTCCTTTCTTGTTATTTTTACTCCAACCTCAAGTTTCAGATTTCTTGACCTCGAAGAAAACAGTTTGAAAATTTTGTGTTATAAATATGATAGAATGTATAACCCACAATTTCCATTGACAAATTGTAATGCTTTAAATTTTTAAAAACTTCATGTTGGAGGCATGTTTTTACTTCAAGAAAATGAAGAAGCTTACATTGATTATCATGGCATCCCATGTCTCTTGGTAGGACGGGTCAAGTTTCAAATCTTCTGTGTCAAAGACATAAGCCTTCATTTTTGGAATCTAGAGCTTACCAAATGCAACAAAAAGTTAGGGTGACTAGTCATAACTTACATCAACATGAGGCAACGGAAGGAAACAGCAACAATCAATGGTTTTGCCACCAAATTTCAATATTATTATGTAACAGTTTACAAAGCAAACGACCACATACAAATACACATATCACTTTAACGGACCAATTAGATCGGGATAGCTAAACACTTACTAAAAACTGGCAAGCAGTAATGTACCTCATCTTGCCAAAACAAGTCAATGTTCTTTGGAAAAAGAGGAGACAGATAACCAAGCACCTGCAGCAGGAAAACAGGCATATCTAGTTTCTCGGAGATAGAATGTGACATATACAATAATTATGCATACCTATTACCTAGTCATGACTTTCCTGAGAGCAACCACTTGATATATACGAAGAATAGATAGAATATGATAAAGATCCCATAACAATCAAGGATTGGAAATGTTTCTGCCGTTTAATCTTGCAAACCTATGTCCCATATTTTTATGTTCAAAAGTAGAAGAAAACAGAAAGAAACAAGCGCTTTAAGAAATCATAAGTCATGAACATGTGGCTATAACAAGATGTCTGAAGTTGTGGACACTTACAGTCAAAATCTGGGTTGCTAACTGCTCCCTTGCTAAGGGGTTATGCAAAAGAACCACCAAACGGGTAAAAATTTCCTGCATTTAATTTTATATATATCCAAGATTGAAAATCAGTGTCAGACAAGAAATTTACAAGACAAATCAGAGGAAGTAAAATCGATTGACCTCAGGGCTGGGAATATCAGAGCGCGCTTTACACTCACTCAGCATGGAGTTGGCTGTAGATCTACGACGACACAATTCAGAGATGCATCTACAAATCTACCAAATATAAGCAATTACACATTAATTCAGGTCCATTCTCTCCTTGGGAAATGCCAGAAACCCATTTAGTCGACCAAAGACATATCTTACAGTTGCAACAGCCCCAGTATACCGCCTTGGAACGATCATTTTCAACAGGAAAGGCCAAAGAATATACTGCAGTTTCAAATTTTATCAGCACTAGCCAAAACATTTTGAGAAAATTCTCAAAGTAATCATACAGCATAAAGGACAAAACTTGCTACTGAAAGAAGAGGCAAAGAAGAATTTGATGCACCTCCATTTCAGGGATCGTAACAGTCAAGAGTAAAAGGCCTTTTTCACAAACTGCTCTTAGCGCTGTTGGATTAAATGGCCCCTTTTTTGCCTAAGAGGGAAGATTAGTGTGTCAGGTTAAATCCTCAAATTGATGTCCCTGGATAAAGTAATATGCTTTCGGCTTCAATCGCTATCACAAAGGAACAGGAAACTAGAATATAAAATTGTTTGTAAAATATTCTCTTATTTCAGAATATGAAGTTAGCTCAGAATATAACATGTACTTTAGCCTTACCTTCTCATCAATATCGGTGTCTGATATTGCACAATGACGTACCAGGTATTCCACAAACATTTCCCCGGACGAGCCAATCAAATAGCAATGTGAAGCCATAACCACAATAAGCTGCCACCAAAGTAGAAGAATAAAACCACAAGTGAACACATCAAAGCATAACTACCTTACCGGTTGTGCTATGTGAGCAATACCTCTGAAAGTGCCTTCCGTACACCTAAATTTTGTTCATCTAACAACGATCTCACAGCTTCTACCAACAAAGGCCGTTTCAAGTGCCAAGCTTCGGACAACCTCCAGAAGGAATGCATTGACACGAGTTGGGTTAGGGAAAGGAATAGAAACATCAGAAGGCTGCCCTGCTAAATGTTAGAGAAAAGAAAACCTTGGAAGAAGATGCTTCAAGACACAAAGGGACCCAAACGTCAAAGGTTCTTCCTTCAACTTGCATTTCTGGGGGAAGAGAAACATGGATGTGAATATCAAATGTTAGTTTTATGTTGAACTAATACATAACCAGACACCTAGTAACTCTTCTTGAAGGTAAAACGATAGCATTATAAGAAGTGATAGGTATTTCCATTGCATTGCATAATATGGAAGTATATCGGTCATACAACAGCAAAACATAAAGGCGCTTACGTTCAGAAGGAATGTAAACAAATCCTCAGGATATATGAAGCCGACAGTCAGAAAACATCGCTGAACTTCATTATAAGTCTGCACCACAAAAAAAGAAGAATAAGATGAAAACTGTGAAGAATTTACTAGCAAAAATAAGAGATCACTTGAACAGACTCACTCCCACAAGCCGCCAACGTTAAGAGAAAAGGAGAAAGTCACCAAGTTTTTAAAAATTACCTTTAATCCAACAGACATATCTGAGCTCTCTTTGTTTTCACTAGTAATACAGATTACAGGAAGAAGAGTTGACAGAACAATTGCAAGGTCCTGAAATACATGGCATATAGCAGCAAAGATTATGTTAATAATTCTAATCCTCTAAGTACCATGGCTCATTCCATGCAAAATGAAGCTCTGAAAAATCATTTTCAGACAAGGCTTAATCCCGTGAACAAAGCAACAGTAAGCACTAAACAGAAATACCTCAAACTCAAGCAGTGGAGGGCCAGACTCAGAAAGTAAAGAGGCATTTAATAGATTATAAAGACTACATGTTGCCAAAAGTGCAACGTTGTGATCTTTCTTATACCTGAAAATTGAAATAAAAATGAAAAAGCATCACAACTTTCGGAAGGATTCCTAAAGATCATGTATAAATAAAATGTCCCGTGCTTTCGAACAAACTTGCTTGTTAGTTGCTGAAGTTGTTATTAATGGAACAATGCATAAAACAAATCTGATTGCAAGACGACTTAGTGATGATACCTTTGAGCACTACAGCATGTATAAGAAGGAAAAAGAGGATGGAGGCAGAACATACAGTTCAAGTATTGTTGGAATAAGTCTTGGTAACGCTGATTTCAGCTGCGTCCGGGTGATAAGACCGACCATCTGACCCAGAGCCTCGACAGAAGATACTCGTACCTTATGCAATAGAAAATTAAGCACGCAACTTAAGTACAGAATAAAGGTGAACAGACAAGTACAGAGAATAACTCTCAAGTAAAAAGATATTCAAATTTATTCATCTAAACTCTGTACGTTAAAGAGAAATGAAGCAGCAACAAAAATGAGTCCTTTCTCACTATCAAATACATGCTTTTCATGTTTTATTCTGGGATAAAATTACAGGTTCGTGCAAAAACAAAAAAAAATGACAGTCTATACCTTTTTTTCTTTTTTTTGAAAAAAAAATAATGGAGTGTACAAATGTGAATCATATCTACAGCCTCTTAAATAAATATCTTAGGAAATACATTTTTTATTGAAACAAGAAATGAAAGTAGAAGGAAACTTGGAGAGATTACAGATAGAGATTATAAGCGAACCTTATGATCACGAGACGTAGCCCAAACTCTCAACAATAGCTCAAAGGCTGAATTCAGAAATGACCTACATTAGATAAAACACTTTAACTTGCATGTCGTTGACACAGATTAACAATGAAGAAAACAGAACAAGAAACTGATCTCACATGACATCACCATCAAGAGGAGAATCTGACACAAGATCCGTGGTGTACATCCAAACAGCCTGAGACCAGCACTTAAATGCTAGACAATACGGAAATAAATCAGAAGAGAGGTAATACGTAAACCGTTTTGCAAACAGTAAGGAATAAAACAAGCAAACTAAGAGGTTAGATACTGAAAACCAATCAAATGATTAAATTCAAAAGGCTGCTTTGTTCGTTAAGTTGATATTAATATAGAGGTGAAGTGCACTATATACTGCTTCTCATTTCTTCCATCTTTCAGAATGGTTCAGGATTAACTAATCACTAAAGTGTTAATATCCTCTGAGTCAATTAAACTGAACGAAAACGCCTAATTAGCTAAAATAAGTCAACCAAACTCTAGTATGGTGAGCACTCAATTTGGCCAGATAGGAAATAATTGATCCCATACTACAGGTAAATCCAGCTTACTCAAATAATTGAAAGGAGAAAGAGATTCAACCCAGAAACTTCAAACACAAAAAATTTCACTAAATTGTGTAGAAATTTTTCATCATACCATTTGCAAAAATTGGACGGTGTATATCACGAACATTCCCAAGAATAGGAAGCACCCTAGAAAGCACATCTTTCAAGCGTGGAGTGAACTGCAAAGCTTCAAAGGAAACAACAAAGTACTTCAAAATATCAGACAACAGCAGTTGGCACATATGATTGTATGTGATTGAAACATGAAGAGAAAGAGAAAGGGCTAAGATGATTAACCATCAGCGGAGGCAAAGTCAGCAAGAATTTGAACCATAGCTGGTGCAGCTGAGCCAGGTCCAGACAGATGAAGAAATATTTCTTCCATCATCTGCGAAAGCCAATGAAAGAATTGTTACCAGACTATATAACAGCGGGAATGACGAAGAAAAATAAAGGGACAGGCTTAAGGGGATAGACATCCATCTATCAAGGGTGAAAGCAGAGCACAAGAGGCAATCAACAACACAAATGAACATTACTAAAATGTCACAATACAGAATAGTAACGTGAGAACAGACATAAGATTCTATTGTGACCTTCCGCTGTGCAACTCGCTCTTTGCCAGGAAAGCTATCAGACATGTCAGAAAACAAAATAATTGAAAGATCTTTACACATACTTCACAAGTAGGCGGCCTCATAATAAGGAAATCCAAATTATATTGCACCCAACCACCACATTACCATGCACACCCATTTTCTTTCTGAATAACTCTTTCCTACCCTTGCATACTAATTTTTTAACATTCAATCACAAAGAAATAATATATAATTGATGTTTACATAACACAACAAAATCCACCAAATCATTAATGACTGAAAGAAAAGAAAATACTTACAAGATCAGGCAAATGTGATCCAATTGAGACGAGTAGCCCTGATGCTTGCCTTTGCCAGTCAGCATTCAGTTCCTGAGTTGTGATGAAACAAAAAATATATAAATCTAATGATGATGTAATAGAAACAAAAACAAGTACATGCAAGAAAATTTGAAAAAAAATACATCGATTTAAACCATAATTTATTTGTTAATTACTATTACACTTCTGTTACGGCAGCTCGGTGCACAAAACATAATTTATTTTCATTACACTTCTGTTAATGAGAAACAATTGACTCAATTGTCTAAATCTACCAAAGACATCACCTAGCCAGAATTTTGTGGCTCAATGTCCTAGGCAGCCTGGGCTTTAAGAATAAAACCCTACAAGTTACCATTAACTTTCCAATATCCCAGGAGAAAGTAAACAAACATTTGAATGACAGACCCGTGAACTATAATTTCTTTTATGCATAAGACATATGCTGATACCCTCTTAGCAATATCTAGGAAGCGGTCTCCGAACAATCAGGAGAAACGAGTTAAAACAGCATTATCTACCTACCAAGGTAACGAGTCATGAATTACATTTTACCTCAAAACAAATATATATTTTTTAAAATTGCAACTTTAACCAGCTGCACTCTCTAATGCTATCTGCAACAGCAAATATCCAAGTAAACATAGCTATGCAAGAGCTGTTCAGTTTTGAAAAAGTACCTTGGAGGATATAATTTCAGCAGTGGCAATCTTAGCAAGTTTTCCCATGAAGGTTGCATCAACGTCTTTCTTCTCTAATGCACGAACACTGAATGCCATAACTTGAAACACCCCAGCCATGTTACCAAACCGCTGTCACATCAACCAATACTGAATTAGTCACCAACTAGAGAAAAACTGCTCAAAAACAAAAGAAAAACAGCATTACTCTTCGTCCTCCGCGTGATACGGTATAGCAACAATCAAGAACCAGAAGCGGATTCCTGAATAAAGCACACATCAGTTTAGTACCCTCACATACAGACAAGTACACAAGGATACACATTGTATGTCTATCGGGATGAAGGAGGAGATACAGTGAGGCAATTTCTTTCAGCGAAGCCATGGAAGCTCCTCTGACCGTCGAGGAATCATCCGCCAGTGACGTCACCAACACCTGAACAGCATCTGCAAATACAATAAGACCGAGAAATAGCAAAGTCAGAATTCGAATCAAAATCGCTAACAAAGGAAGAAAAACTCAAAGCTACAGCAGCAAAAACCCAAATTCGGCTCTCGAAATTTTCCTAATCAACGGCACAAACCATCGTTGATCATAGAAAATTTCCCGGAAATCCCCCGAAGCACTTGACCGATCAACACAAAAACCAACTGAAATCTAAACAACCTAAGATTCAAATCGACGGAGCAGACCTGGAGCGGGGATCGAGCTCCCCGAGCTGGAAGAAGACATTCGAAAACTCAAAATTCTCGAATTCGAACGTTGAGATCGCACGAAGATTTCGCCGTTAAAGAACTCAAGAACGGTAGTATACAAAACGAATTCAAGGTAAATTTTTCAGGTTCTGATTTCAGAATTCCAGAATATTTCCCCGTTTGGTTCTTTGTTCTTTTAAGGTGACAGAAAAGAATGTAATTTTTTTTTTAAAAAAAAAAAGGACCGACGCGACGGCACCAACAGCTGGTACAGAAAATACAGATCGTTTCCGTGGGTCTTCTTCGTGGCATTTGGGGTGAATATAGAAAGAAAATTAAAAATGTGAAAAAGACAAACAAATAAATTAAAAAGGATGGACCCGGATCCAGATAATCGGGTCGGGTAATAACCGGGTTTTAATCTCTTTGCTTTCGGGTTTATTCGCTTTGTTCTCTAGCTATTGGAAATATGTAAAAGCCCGTTAATTATTGGCCCAATAATTCTCATGGGTTAATCCAAAATATTAGAAACGACATTTATTTACAAAAATATTAATTCCAATTTTAGCTAAATTTTCTGCAGAAATTAATATTCCGTTATAAAATCAAATTGATTCAGACCGAATATACATCAATACTCCAATTGTACTACTCCTAATGTCAAGTTTTTTTTTCTCCATAGTCATCTAATATAGTGTAAAATTCGTACGATAATTTCTTTTCGCAATACTTTTATTTTATAACTCAGAGTGTAAACTCAAATACTAGACCCTCTTGTACCATATATTATTCAACGGTCTATGATCAGTCCATCTGAAAATTTTTTAAATACTAGATAATAATATGCTCAAATTAATAAATATTATTCATTTTAAAATTAAATATAATATATTTTACCGGTCTCGTCATTTTCCGGATACTTTTCGTCGTCGAATTATTTTTCGGCTCCAATCTCCGCTATGTTTGGTTAATTGGTTCATTGTTATCAAAGTAAAACAAAAAATATTCTAATTATATATAAAAAAAACTGATAAACAAAAATAAAGAAAATACAGAGATGGAGATATAATGATATAGTGATGATTTATAGTTAAAAAAATCCGGAAAAGAAGCGAATCTTGGAGGTTGATTCAGAAGATTTATAATAATATTCGCCGAACTAACTGAACTCGGAAATTTACAAAACCGAGTTAAGTGTTAAATAGGTAAACTTGGTGACAACTAGGAATGTCAATTAAGCCCTGAACACGAAATCCGGTCCAAACCCGTCCAAAATAATAAGGATTTGGACCTAAAAAATATAGATCCATTAACCTTTGGACTTTCGAGCCTCGAACTAAATGAGACACGGGCTTGTCGAACCGGGTCAGTCGAGCCTTGGATCATGTTTGAGGCCCTTAGATATCTTTTTTTTTCTAACCCTTTTCTCTAACCAAAGCTTTGTTTGGGTCTAGTATTAAATCTAACCCTTTTTTACCCTTAAACCTTTTGTTTTTTGGCCAAAATCACCACTTCCACTTTTGGTATCGCTTCTGTTTTTTACATCTGGTCAAACTAAAGTCGTTGTCTTTCCATCGGATATTCGACGATCGCCGCCAGTGGATTGCCCGATACGTGATTTTTATTGTATGGATCTCTTGTGATAAATGTCTTAGATTTGTTTTGATGGTGCGATCACCGTAAAAGTAGTGATCAAGAAACTACAATTAGATTGTTAATCCAAGTAATTCAAAAAGTTAGTTTTCTTTCTTAAAGTTTTTCAAGAACAAAGTGGGTTCATGGGTGATCAAAAACCGTTTTGATTGCAATTTCCATTGCCTACACTCATGAATCAGATCCAATCATGATTTTGAATAATTCTCCAAGGATCCTAGGTGACCCAACACAAGCCTTGAACTAGGCAAAACAACCCTAGTTAGTCCAAATTAGACTCTAAATTGACCTAAATCGCTTTAAACTAGTCTGAATTGAACTATATTGGATACTGTTTGTCTTGAACCGGACTAAACCGATCCAATTGACCCTAAACAAACCTAAAATCGGTCAAGATTTAATCTAAATTGGTAAGCTATTGAGTAAATCGGTTTACTTCAATTTATTACTTCATTTGATGAAATATGAAAGGAATAATTTAAAAAAAAATTGTAATAATATGTTTTTTTAATTATTAAAAAAGTAAATGAGTGGCTAAACGTCCAGTATAAAAAAAATAATTAAAATAAAAAAACAATGTGGACTGCATCCAATTAAAAAATAAATAAAAAATATTTAATTGAATAGAAAACAAACAAATCTTTCTATAAAAGGAGAGGCCTTTTGTGCATATTACACACATACCAGAGAGAGATACACAGAAAGAAAGAGAGAAGAAAAAAAAGTGTTTATAAAAACATTAGGATAGGAGGTTCTAATCAATCCGGAGAAAACTACAATCACGAAAAACGACCGACATAATCTTGTGAGTGGATTTTGATGTCATTCGAAATTTCTATTTTTATTGTCTTCGGAATTTATGTGTTAGTGTACAAATTTGTTGTTTGATTCGTGTTGTTGTAATGATTGTAAATATTTTATATATTGTCCATGAATTTTGATGTTGATTTGAGTGAATTAATGAATTTCTACGTCCGGACCGGTCGATCTGGATCTAGACTGTTCGGACTGGAGTTGCAGAAAAAGAAATACAAAATTCGAACAAGAGAATAAAGATAAAATTTGGACCGATGATCTGCTCCCAGATCCGACCCGGTCTAGTCTAAAAAAATGAAAAAAAAAATTATTTTCAAAGAAAAATAAATAAATAAAAACAAAAGGATCGGACGGTCCAGAAACTAGACCGACCCAGTGTGGTAAAGAAAATAATAAATAAAATAATAAAATAAAAAAATAAATAAATAATGGAACGGACGATACAAAAATTGGACAGACTCGGTCTAATCTCAAACCCAAAATTTAATCAAAATATGACTAAATTCAGTTCAAAGTGGACCACACGTAGTTCGGACCAAGCGATACGACTGAGTAAGTACAAATCTCAGGACGAGCCAAACTGGTAATCTGCACGAGCCGCAACCTAGTTTGATCGGATCAATGATTTAAAAGATTAGATAAATCATAATAATAAATAAAATAAATAAGATAAAATTTAAAAGAATCTTATCAGGGTAGATGACATAACATTGACATTACTCGGATGAGTTCGGGTATTGTTCAATGTGTGATTGTAAACGGGTTTTGAGTGATATCACGGTGATTGTCTTGACTGTAAATCTTCGTTGTATGATAATCGATCTGGATCGATTATCATCCCGCAGAGACGTGATTATGACTGTGGCGACATTCGATTGCACCATTATTCCCTTACGGATGGTTATGGCATCTAACGACTCACGTATTTGGATTTGCGTGTATCACCCGAATGTGTGACGAGGAAGTACCGTTTTTTGGCAACCACACCAACGTTCCATTGGCCATGGAGATAGTAGACATGCAATATGGGACTTGTCACCTCCTTAATAGGAGAGATATCGATGGGCCCTCTCGTGGAAGTCGGACTATGAGAAATGCGTGGCCACGCTATAGATGAAGTTGCATCTATTTTATTAGTCGATTTGCCAAGACGAGAAAGCGGTTGAACTTGAAGGGTGGCTCAAACCATGCCCTTGTTCAACTTATAATATCGCGAGACAAAGGATCAGAATTCGAGCTGTTAATGCCTTGGTTAGATCACCTCTAACTCAATTCTAAGTGGGTGATCATGGCGTCTTGCTAGAGGCTAACCATAACTTGTGGTTCGGGAAAGGTTCTGAAGTCACTCCCACTTAGAATGGGCCTACAGGGTCACACACCACTAGGGATGGACTTAAATGTGAAGAATTCGAAGAATGGAAACGAGATTTGACTGAAACGAGCATGAAAAGGAGTTTTCAGTGTGTTGATCTGGAGCTGACCAAGTTTGGTCAGTCCAGGTGGTCCGGAAGTTGGTCCGTGGTCGTCTGTCCAGGTCTGGTCCGGCTGACCAAAAGTTGGTCAGCTCCGGACCAGACGGTGGGTCAGGCGGACCGAAGACGCAAGAACGTCAGACTGATCTGACGAACAAGAGACTTGGTCCGGAGCTGACCAAAAGTTGGTCAGCCGGACCAAGGCTCCAGGTCAGGCGGTCTGAAGGGAGCTGAGTAAGCTTGGTCCGCCAAACCAAACTCTTGGTCCGGCAGACCGGGATCTGGGATTTTCTTAAAATTCGGATTTAGGATTTTCTAAGCTTATTTTAAGTTTGGGATTTCGTCCAAACTTAATTAAGGTCGTCCTAAAACTCAGAGAGACATCTAAGAACCCTAGAGAATTCATTCTTTTCATTTTTGAGCTTCTCGGGATTAGATTCGGTCTCTCGAGTTACCATTTTCTTCACTAATCCTAGCAGATACGTTTCAAATCGTTTGGAATCCTTCCCGTCGGTGTAGATACGTGTAGAGGGACTGTAATTTCAGTCCTAGGTGATTAAGAACATGCGCCGAATCGAATTTTGCTTCAAGTTACATCGAGAACGAGGTAAGTAACGATTCCCTCGGTGATATACACGATCTTTCGGGTTTTATCAAGTTTGGTTGCGTGTGACATTTGACTAGGTTTAGATCTTTCTTCCGCTGCATGAAACCTAGTAAACCAAACCCTAGATCGATATGCTCGCATGCTAGGAACCCGTAGATTACCCAACAGTGGTATCAGAGCCTGGTTCTCTGTATATCGTCGTGCTTGTTGTATGATTGCATGATTTAATCGTTAAATTGCATGTAATCATTGAATATATGCATGTTTAATGATATTTGTGATTGTTGAATAATGTATGGATGGTATGGAGTCTGGGACGGGTTAACGGTGCGACGAAACGGGGGTGAAACCCTAATTTTCGAAACCCAAAAAATCTATTCCGAATCTGATATGTCCGCGGTCAGCCGGACCAAGAGTTGGTCAGCCGGACCAGCGGACAGATCCGACTCCGGACCAAGCTCAGAATTTTCTCGAAAATTGATAGAACGACGGACTAGAGAAGCTGACTAAGGTCAGTCCGACGGACCAGATTCTGGTGAGCTCCGGACTGGACCTCAGACACTTCTCAAGTCCAAAATTTTGTCCTTTTTCCTCGTGATCAATCTCAAGCTATTACCGCCCATTAATAGAGCAACTGTCAAGGCCTCGATCGCCATGGTTACGGGTCATGCCCTAGCTGAGCGTGCCTGACTATCTTGGTGAGGCAGTATG